GGATATCATAGCTGAAATCAAGAAGAAGAAATGGACATGGGCAGGGCATGTAGCGCGTAGACAGGGTAACCGCTGGTCATTAAGGGTAACTGACTGGATTCCCAGAGAAGGAAAGCGGGTTAGGGGGAGGCAGAAGGTTAGGTGGGCAGATGAGATTAAGAAGTTTGCGGGTATAAATTGGCAGCAGCAAGCACAGGACCGGGTTAACTGGCGGAATATGGGAGAGGCCTTTGTCCTGCAGTGGACGTAGTCATGCTGCTGCTGATGATGATGATGAATGCCAGGGAAAGTATAGGGGAAGCTATTAGGCCAATTGTAGTGCAAATGTGAAGGAAGAAAAGTGGGTGAAAAAAATAACTTGCTGTGGGCAGGATCCGAACATGCAACCTTCGAAAAAACGAGCCCTTAAGTATACACTGGTTTTATATATATATATATATATATATATATATATATATATATATATATATATATATATATATATATATATATATATATATATGCACACACACATGTGCCCATGGTTAAGCCCTTTAGTTAGAGGCACACATGTAATAGACATATGGGTATAATAGACACCAGTGTGCCTACATCTAAATAGGGGTTGATAAGAACATAGTGTAGTGTCCTGCTGCCTATAAGGGACGCCCTGTACATGGGCCAAGAACTGCTTTTTGGTGTATGTCTGTTACAAGGGTTTCATGCATAAATATATATAAACAGTGAGAAGGACAAGCACATGTACACACACAAAAAAAATTCATTCACCATTTTGACTGGGAACCATTCTCTTTTTATAACAATTGTAGGTAAAGTCATTGAACTTATCTTTGTTCACTCAGGAAAAAATGCGAGGTAAAAGTTTCATTCCAGTGGCGAGGAAATGGCCACTGCAGCATCAGAAAAGGATTTGGCTGTGGAGATAAAGAAGGTTTCGTGGGCGTAGGTAACAGCTACATGTGTGCAAAACTATTTTTGTGATGCCAACTTCAACGTCAGAGCCGATGTCGAGCCTGAAGCTTCCAAATAGGACCATTCTGGTGGTGATTTGCAGCAGTGCGTCGTCGACTCTACGGGAGGGTGGGACATGTTTTGGTATGATTTCATTACAGCTGATGATGCTGACTCTGCGGAACCGTGCATGGATGAGGGCATTGTGAGTGAAGGGTGCAGCAACAGCAATTCATAAGAATCAGATGATGTCGACAAAACTGGAGTCAGTGCCCATAAGCATGCCTGTATCAAATGGCTACATTAATAGCCTCAGGCAGCTTGTATTTGCTAAGTGCCTCAGTGAAAAGCACGCTATGCTTCAATTAAACTTGTGCACAACCTAATCGCTTCTGTTGTTTGAAACATGGGCATAATGGACTCTCTCACGAAAAAAAATTTGTGTTTTCACTTGCAACTGTTTTAAAGGTGTTTCATTACTACAAACGTCAGGATACAGCGAGTAGATGCTGCGTCACGCTCAGGTTCATTATAAGTGGGCTCTACTGTATATGCAACCAAATGAATACAACCAGTTGATAGGTCGCGCTTTTTCCGTTTACTCTGTGTTTTCCAACCGTTTTCGTCCGATGGAATGCACAACGATTCCCATCACGGTGGTTCATCTCCATTCTAACGACCAACGTCCATGATCAGTCATTAAACAAACCATTGTGGTCCCTGTAAATGTTAACCCACTAGGGAAAGCGGCGTGATAGCTGAAAAAGCATCACATATTGAATACAATATTTTGGCTATGGTTGCCACCTCGTTGCATGTTGAAGTGTGATTGAACATTGCGCTCAGACTGTAGGGAAACACCAAGCTCATTGTGATGTCCCTGCAGCTTGGCCGTGATTTTTCTCGGGGTGAGCGTAAGCGAGGAACAGGTGAAACAGCTGCACATCGCAGAGCCGAGTGAGGTCGACCCTTGGGCTAAGGTAGCCACCTCGTGGTGTGTTAGGGGTACATGCAAGTCGAAAAATGCAAGTTATTTTTCCAAGTTACATATTCTTGCTTTTGTTTGCTTTCACAAGTTTAGTTTCGCTACTTTCACAACCAAAAAAACTAAAAATTGTATTTAAAATTGAAGCAGGTTAAAATCGCTTTTAAAAAGCACAAGATGGCTACCAAAAACTAAAATGAGCTCACTATCTAGAATTCCTTGAAAATTGTCACATGGCTGCTTGCCATTGCATTTCGCATGAGGAGTTCACCAAAGCCACCAGCTCGAAATAACAATAATTGTCAAGCTGTCACGATGGAAGAAATCACTTTAAAAAACGTCTTTGCCGCATATATGAGCTTGGATTGAACATCCGATTATGGGCAACTTCTTGAGATACGACATCATGTTTTGGTACATTTAATAGCCAGATTAGGACGAAATTTTGCCCAGATATTCCTTAACCTATGACAGGTACCAGTATCTCCTTTAAAACTTGTTATCACTTGTGTAATTATTACGAAGCGAGAGCAAGCAATCAGTATGGGATGAAGATTCTAAGGGTTCTCACACTGAAATTTATCTTGTCCATTAAAATGTCCTATATGGCCTTTCGTTATAGTTATTTACATTTTACACTTAATAAGGAGCAATATGAGCCATTGATGGCCCATAACCACCAAAGCTTAATTACATGAAAAGTTCATCGAAAATGAACTACATTTTATACATTGTCATGGCACAGAATGAAAACTGTGCAACTTACTGCAAAACTAATTACATATTTGAAATCAGCAAAAACGTCTATATATACAGCGAAAAATTTCATTGCCCTAGCCTGCAGATTCATGAAACTTATTTTTCAAATCGCACCCCTTAAGGCATTGAAGAAATTGCACTTCTATTGAATATGCTCGAAATGGGATGAACGCAGTGTGACAAGCGCTCCGGATTCTGATTGCAAAGGCCACAGTAATGATGAATTCCTTCTCTTTACTGCTCTCAGACAACATTATTCCCACCAAGAGCAGTGTAGATATAAAAGGCACATTAGTAAAGCCATTAGAGTCTGTGGTCATGGCGCATTGGATAACATGCACAGCATCTGTTGCTGCAGACCAACAGGTCGTCAGTTCGATGCCCATTGACAAACTTTTTTTAAAAAATTTGATCATGTAGATTTTTTTATTGTCATTTCCATGCTGGAAATACATCACTGAAGTCTTGGTCGACCCCAGAATAAAACACTTTGGGGTTAATAAGTGTATGTCATTGTTATAAACAAAATTAGCACCTTGTCCTGCTTGAGATGTCACTGTTTTTTCTAGCACTTCGTCATCATGTTTCATGTCTCTACAAAAAGTGGCTTTTGGTGTGGGATGTGTGTGTAGCGTAATGCTTGTGGCGACCATCTGGCCTGAGAAAAAGATGACGAGCACTGGTGGCTCGTGGCACGAGGCACCTAGAATGTTCGTATGCTTCTGGCTGGTTGGACGTGAGGGCCACTGCTCTACTTTAGAATCTCACTTCTGCCCTCAACTATGAATATTCGCCTAGTACTCATCAAACCAGCGACGACGGTTCGTCTACGTCGGACACCGTCATGTCGCTACATGCGAAACAAAGGTGGAGCATCGTCCGCAGATACGACTCTGCTTATTTAAATAAATCTAAGTCTTTGCCACGAACTTGTCTCTCCAGGATGCCATAGAATGTGTACTGTTAAGAGTGGTTAAAACTATACTTTCTGGTCAATCACAAGTTGTAACTTGTTCAGAGAAATGTGCTTTAACTAAGTCTTTGTCTGGCAGCTGCAGTACTTAGGGGATCTTGCATTTCGTAAGCAGGAGAAGATTGTCACAAAGGTGAACAAAGCAGCGTTTTTAGTTCTTTTCTGTATGGTGCACTTAGTTCTCATTTGTTGATGCACATATGGGTGGCCAGGCATTGTGTTATGTTTTTTTACAAGTGCCGAGACAAAGGTCATGGCATGACATAACCATTTTCTGAGACAATCACCAAGATTTGCCGTTATTGTTTATGCAAGCCAGCCAAAGCCATAATGTCTCTATTTGCCTACTATCGTGTTCCGTAAAATACTGCTGCTGTAGTCTGAGCTTTTCCAGCCATGCTGGTCTAGTGCAACAGGGCAGAACAAATAGTGGGTACTGTATGGAAGGGAAAGGGCATTGAGCATAGTCAAGCCATTTACTGGAAACTGTTCATAATACTAGTATAAGTTACCTACTCCATTGTGTGGCTTTATTATTCATAGTATGCTTTAGCTTTCTTCTTCCATTAGTTGTTCATCCTGGTGAATTAATTCCTCTTATTTCATTGTGCAACCTTCTATGTGGAATGTCAGCTGCTAGCTCGTATTAAGATCACGTGCTACTTAATGCCAACAGGCAAAAAAGTGTCCCACACTCGCCGCAATGGTAACAGGCGGCGCTGACCACATTTAAATGCACGTATGCCCCATTGACATGGGCTGGTTATGTAGTGCATAGGCAGGATAACCGCTGGTCATCAAGCGTAACTAATTGAATTCCCAGAGGAGGCAAGAGGACTAGGGGGAGACAGAAAGGTGGCCAGATGTTGAGAAGTTTGTGGGTATATTGTGGCAGCAGCAAGCGCAGGACTGTTGACTGGTGGAACATGGGAGAGGCCTTTCGCTGCAGTGGACGTAGTCAGGCTGATGATGATGATGACATACCCAATAAAGTGGACAGGAGAATAGCTCCGTGGTAGCTCAGTTGGTAGAGCACGGGACGTGTTATTGTAAGGTCGCAAGCTCGGTCCCTGCACATGGCAAGTTATCTTTTTGTTCACTTTTCTTTCTTCACAATCACATTACAATTAATTCTAATAACATCCCCTATACTTTCCTTGGCATAATTGTCTTTCAGTTTTCAATAATATTGTGTCAAAGAAAACAAACCCTGAAATTTACCCTTCTTTCTGACCAAGGGGAGGTACTATATAAATGAGTAAATAAAAATGTCCCTAAAACACGAGTGTTTGGGATGATTTTGGTTACACACATGTTATCCGTCATTTCCAGACTGGCCTAGGCAAGTACAGTAGTTACTTTATCAGCACCTCAAGGTCAAAGACTTCCAACCACACACTGACCAAGCTTGGCAGGCCGGTAATGGCACCAGATGAGATTAACAGCTTGTTGGGAAAAGTGACTGACCCCCATGTTAAGCACCGAGCAAAGCTACTCTCAAACTACAATTCCTTCTTTGCACACTGGCTGGCACTCCTAAGGTAAGTGCATTGAGTTAACGATGGCTGGATATCATATGTGACACGTATTCTCCTTAATTAACCCCTTGAGGGCCAGAGACGTACACATACGTCATCTGCTAACAGCCACAAGACTGTCAAAGATGTACATTTACATCATTGCCTGTACAGTAAACTCTCTGTGAAACTCCCTTAAACAAAACAGCTGCCTATAATATGATTGGTCTCTTACTTTAATTTTGCAGCCTAGCTTATCTTTCAGTAAATGAAACTCCTGTTAAACTAAATACATTTTCCCATTTCCTTCTGGTTTTGTTTAACAGGAGTCTAATGCAGGCCTTTTTTGATCATTTCTCTTGACTGGTATGTGCTTCCACACTGCAGGAATATGTAGACTATTTCTTTTGTTACGGAGATCTTCGTTTTTTATGTTTTACTACAGTGGTGCACTGGCTATATACTTGGCGACAATCTATCTTAACAGTTCAGTGAAGGCAAGTGTTTTGCACACCTGTGTTGCTCCACAAGTAGTGTGGCAGCTTTGGTTTTGCTCGCCGATATTATTGATGCGTTTTGAGAATTATATACACGAAAAATGTGAATGGGAGAAAAATATAGATTGTCCAGTGTACATTTTAGTGTCATATTACGCGTATACTTTCTGGAGGCTAGTTCCCACCTGTTGTGCCTGCAAAACTGATGGCTTTTCAGTTTAGAATACTCTCATCCGTCACTATAACAAAAACATCTGCTGTGAAAATGCTTTGCTATATCCAAAAATTCGTTATGAATGATTATTTGTAACACTGTATTTATGGCAAAGCTATTTGGTCACTTACTTTGTTGTAAACGATAATCGTTACATCCAAATTACAGTCGAATCTCGATAATTCAAACTCGAAGGGGCCCGAAAATTTGTTCGAATTAAAAGAAGTTCGAATTAATGAAAGCTAAATAAACGGAGGGCTCTCCATGCAGTGGCGCATGTCCATTGAGCTAACACACGAGGGGGAAGTTTAAGAAGACTTACATTTATTCACAAATCACGGGACATCTGTTATCAACTCCTTGCATCGATAATGCGCGTCTGCACATGTTTGCCTTGCAGTGAGTCGATCAATTTCCCACGCAGCTTGCAAAGCATATCTACTTCGGCTTCAGTGTTCTCCTGGCAAAAAAAAGTTGCACGCGAAAATGCTCAGCACCGACACTTTCTAACGACGATGACAACAAGGACTGCTACGTAGCGAAGCCTCCCGCTCTCCACTACGCAGCCGCAGCATGGCCAGCACTTGACGAGAAAGGAGGAGCGTCTCCACGCGGAGAGAAGCAGATCGGTATTTAAGAAAAAACCAGCACTACACAGCAGTTTTTTTTTTAATTTTTGCTCTCTTTGCGCGCGTTTTTGAAGGGAGAAGGGTTACGTGGCAGGGAAGGGAAAGGGAGAAGCGTAGCACGGGCGCGTGAGAGACACCCCCCGCCCCCCTCAAGGCACAGAGTCGTGCTCCCGCAAGGGGCAGAAGCTGCAGAAGATAGTGCCTTTATTCTTCAACCACACAATCATTCAACCTAGTGATGGCATTTTTTTTCCCTTTCTCTCTCTTTGCACGTGGCGGTTGGAAAGAGGAGGGTCTATACGTGGCAGGGACGGATAAGGGAGAAGCGTGACACGGGCGCGCCGCAAATCGGCATTTGAGAGAGAGCAAACATTCCACCGCAGCCTTTTTTTTCCTTTTCATTTCCTTCGCGGGCAGCGTTGAGGTGTCGCAGGTGCTGCATCAGAATTGGGCAGGATGCTGAGAGCATTTTCGGAGAGCGGTATGTTCGAATTAACCGTCGGAAGTGCTTGGGCGTTTGAATTACCGGGCGTTTTCGCCCATTGGAATGCACATAGCTTTGACAGAACCTCATCGTGAGTTCGAATTAACCGGAAGTTCGAATTAAGCGTGTTGAAATAATGAGATTTGACTGTAGTTATATTTAGGTTTGAGTGTGCTATTTCAAAAGATGACAGTTTGTTTCTCCCTCGTTTATTGCTCTCGGCTACGCAATTCAGGTGCTTACTAACACAAACACTGCTGCTGTGGTTATGTTTTCTGTTTTAGGGACTCGCAAAATTGCTTCCAGTTTTTTGGTGATAAGACGAAGGATTATCATAGATCTTGAACTTGTTTTCACTTTCCGGGTGAGCTCACTACACAGTTTTCTTCAGTGCTCACCCGTGCAGTTTGCTAGCGACATGATAATGCGCACTCGTTTTTCTGCCACAAGCAAACTTTACAGTGATTGTTTCAGATATCCACTCGACTGCCGAATTGAAATCTGATGCAGTAAATGTGACCTCGTCACACAAGGAGTTACTTACGAGTTATTACTCAGATGCTCATGTGAATAAAATGCTGACTGGATCAAAAGTGGCTTTTCTTCCCAGGTATTTCCACTTAGCTCCACTTCTTGTGCTCAAACTCGAAGAGGCCGTCTAGTGTGATAAAGGCAGTCTTCTTTCGATCTCTCTCATGAACCTCGATTTGCCATAATAGCCAGTCTTGACATACATCGACAGAAAGTACTTCACCTTGTGAAGTTGATTCAAGGCGTCGTCTATATGTGGGAGAGGGTACACATCCTTCTTAGTGATTTTGTTCAGGAGGCAGTAATTGACGCAAAAGACCTAGGGTTTCGTGCTTCTCCTTCAGTAATGCCACGGGTGACGGACTCTTGGACGGCTGATTCATGTTGTCGCGTAGCATTTCGTCGACTTGTTCCTTCACGGCCTCGCGTTCACGCAAGACATGAAACTCTGTACAGACTCTGTCAAACTGGTCAGGCACTTTCTTCTGTTAAGAGATGTTTTGCAAGGGGGGTTTGTCAAATTCTAGATGATTACGAGAAGCAGTCCTTGAGGTGTAAAGGGGGTCTTGAACTAGTCTTGCTTGCACTTCGGAAGGCTCGGGTTCTCGTTGAAATCTGGTTGGAAACCTGGATTCGTTGAAGCAGCTTTAGCAGCATCGAAGAGAAAGAAAGCATTGCTGGCGTCCACAAATTCATCAATGTAGGCGACCGGCGTACCAATGTTGGGGTGCCTATATTCGTGGCTAAAGATTGTCAGCACTACCTTTGTTTTGCTGTCAGTCAGCTCGGCTATGCCACTTGCGACAAATCTGACGGTTTAAGAGCAGGTGCTGATTGCCTTCGACGACACCTTCAAGGTTTTCAACTTTTTCGGTGCCTGAAATGATGATGCTGAAGAAAGGCGGTAGGGCGACCTGTTCTTCTTATGCATTCAATGTGCGGTTCTCTGATGTTGGGTAGGGTGGCAGCTCTTTTTTTTTTTTTTTTTGAGGTTAGTGTTATTGATTCAGACCTCAGGTCGATGACAATGCCATGGAGACTTGGGAACTCCATCTCAAGCATCATGTCCCTGGAGCACTGTTGTAGGATAACAAAGCTTTCAGGATAAGTCTGGTTGTTAATTGTGACTGGTTGTACAAACTCTTACCAGCGTTATCAGGTGGCCTCCAACAGTCCGAGTTCTGGGTCCATTCCAAGCAGTCCTTACTTTCTTCCGCTTGTTGGCGAACGGCCCACTCATGGTGAAATAGTTGGCGTCATTGTCGACGAGAGCGGTGACTTGACCGTCAATGAGAACATCAAAATAACTTGTTCGTCGTTTCGCGTCGTGGTTGGGTCGCGGCATCGTATTGTCATGGGGTCGTGACGTGTATGAAGGGAGCAGGCTGGATGGTCAGATGACACTGTTTATTTGGCCGAGCTTGTGGCCATCTAAAAGGAAAGTCAGATTACAGTGATATGCACTGGCTCTAATAGCAGTGAATAGAGAGTCGGCCGTTGATCGACTGATAAGTGGTGACCCGCATTGGCTTTTATACGTGTGCCGTCGAGTATTCCAGCGTTATAGCTAGCGGCCACATAAGCTCGAGAAAAATCTGTAATGTTTGCGTTGTGCACGTAATCTTAACAAAATGATCTACTACACTGGAGAAGCTTCTAAAACACTGAGTCTCAGTTTGCGCTAACAGTCGCTGACAGTCTTTGTGGGTGTTAATTGAATACAGCTAGAGCGAAATTTAAAAAATGCTCGTGGCAGTATTATGGTTATGTCAGTTTTGCTCCGCTGCTGCCACGTTGCGTCGTCAGGTCATCTTATGGCCGCGAAGTTTCGATACCGGAGCTTCGGTGCGGCAGGTTCTTGAGGTTTCGTCACGGTGGCGGCGGAGTATCTTCGGTAGTTCGTCATACAGCAACCGCACCTCCATTGATTACTGCTGTTAGTTTTCCAGTGTAAGGACTCGGAAATCTGCCTTGAGCGGGGCTGACGTCCTGCCTGCAATGCGGAGATGCGTAGTGGCCTGGCGATAGTGATCAGTAATGTCATCGATGTGTCGACTGCATTCTTGCGAGGTAGTCGGTGATGTTGTGTGGGCGTTCACGCCGCTGTGGGCCCGGCACATTGACGTCTAGACCATACGGTCTCATCTGGTGGTAGTGGCTGCGACGGTAAGTGTGGCCAGCTTCTCCGCAGCCGTAGCAAAGTGGTTGGTGGTCGAAGGCACGCTACATGCCGGTTTTCCTCGGAGCATTGTGCTGGCTGGCGGGTGGACAGTATGGCGGCGGTGGAGGCGGTGTCTGGCGGCGGAATTGCAGCAGTGCGGTTTCTTGACATATGCATGAGGGGGAGCGTACCGTCGCGCTGCAGCAGATTACTCATAGCCTGCAGCTGCGACTCTGCTTGCTGAGGAATGCCAACATTTTGCTGGATCTCATGGCGCTTGAGGTGGCGATGGAAGCAGAAATTTTCACAGCTCTTCCTGCGTGACCACTCTGGTCGTACACTCAGTTTGGCAGAGCAGCACTCTTGAATATCAGCGAACTGTGTCTTGGAACAGTGATTGTAATGGTGCTTGCGCATGTCTAGTCTTCTTGATAGTGGTTGCTCCCGAGACAAATTTTGTACACTGTTCTGTGGGCTCTGCAACAGTCCCACGAAAACCTCCTGCTTA